GCTAAGAAGCCTCTGGTCTCTCCCCACCCTCGATGCTGATCAGAAAGCCATTGGCTAACGTAGTTCCCAGGGTCCGACTTTACCTACTGTCATCTCAGCTACCTTACTCTCTATTTAAGATTTGTTATTTATTTATGTTTATGTGAGTATGGTTGTCATGTGTGTGCAGCTACCCTCCGAGGCTAGGATAGGGTGTTGAATCCATGGACCTCCAGTTAAAGGTGACTGTGAGCTACCTGATGTGGGTGCTTGGATCTGAACTCAGATCCTTTTCACCTGTGAATCATCTTATTAGTCCCCAGATACCTCATGCTTGAATGTCAGCCTTTACATCGATGGCTGTGAACGCTGCAGGCCAGCCAGCCCGAGTGCACTGCCATTTCCTGGAGAAAATGCTGCACTTTATGCTTTCGTTTGAGCCATTGGCATGTGCCTCTGCTTCTTTGTGCAGCAACACTGGTTTGTCCTCCCACTTGCCAGGCTAACTGCATCCCTGGTCTCAGTAGTGACTTCCTTGGCAAATTCTGGTGACCATTCTATGCTCTTCCCAGAAGTCTTGAGGTGTCTGACCCTATCATTTTCATTGCTGTCCCTTCCTTCCTTCTCAGCGCCAACCCTGCCGCCGACCTCTGGTTGTCTGTTGTCTTCTCCACTGGGCTTGAGACTTGAGGGAAGTCAGGGGCATCTTGATCTTGTTCATGTTGTGTCTTGCTCCAGTATTCTTAGTGCAAATATCATACCAAAAAAAAAGGTAAGCCATATTTGCCTCTACATTTTATGGTATTTGGCAAAATTGCCTGGAAGATGGCATTGGCAGCAAAATGAAGCCAATATTTTTGGATTTGGGAACCCAAGGTTGAAATACCTGAGGCTACTGTTTTTCCTGTGGCTTCTTCGGAAGCAACTGTCTTAAGTTCCCCACCAGCCATGCCCCAAAGGTCTGTTTGTCTTGAAGGGGCTAATTAAAAGTCACCTCAGCAACGATTTTGACCATGGAACTCTCTGTACCATCAACAAACAGAGACCAAATATTGCTACTCTCCAATGGGTTTGTGCAGGGCTTAAACACCCTTCAGGCCTTGTTATTTGGGGCGATGGAAAGATGCCATGGGCATGTAACTTCAGCGATGGATAAGGAATTTGTTTTTAATCAAGAACTGCACACAATCTGCCCCAGTGTGAATCAGCTGTGGTACTTTTGAATGTGTTGATGAATTTTGGCATTTATCCATATTTGGAGAAAAGCTAATGCTGTAACTGAATTGAATCTTTGTCCTCTGTAAGTGACTATTTAGGACCCAATCACTGAAATACATTTATTTTTAGTGTTCTGGGTGGTAAGGGATTTTCTTTACATTTTTTTAAAAAAATGTAGTTGCTTCTCTCTTTCTTTTAAAAACTCTCTTTCATGATATAAAGCAAGATTTTTTCTTATTTGTTTGTTTTTGTTTTAAACTAGTACCTATCAGGTGGTAATTTGCCAGTTAGTCTAAGGTAATAAGAAACTCGAATTTGGATTTGATTCAGTTCCATTAGGGTGGATTTAAATTTTTGTGATACAGGGGCTATTATCCTGGTGACTGTAAGGGATTTTTGTGCTGGGCGTTGAGGCTGACAAAGACCACACTGTGTATGCTCCATCTAGAAAGGAACACTTTCACACTGCGATTTAGGAGCTGTGCAGCTCAGGAAATTGCTGGCTTTGGCTGGACCATACTTTTACTGCAAGGAAAATTTTATTCGTCACTCAAGTAATTGGCAGTTTTAATACCTTGTTCATAATTACCTTATAAACAAACGAATATATAAACCAAAGATTGTATGACTTGTTATCTGACTTGCAGCGTTATTTGACTAACACGATAGACACCTGTGGGCCTCCCTTTCCCTACCTCAAAAAACTAATTTGCTCCATTTATTACAAAAAACCCACTAATAATAACAAAACCAAACACTACAGCTATTGTTTTCTTTTTGTTGTTGCAAAATACCATTTAAATCTAGATAATCTAGCCCCAGACAGCATGGACCCAAACCAGGTGCACACTTGAAGGGAGATGTCAGACACAGATTGGGTCTAGGCACTTCAGGGATGCTGAGTAGTTGGGAGAGGAACATTCTGGTGGTAGAAACATTGAGCTATGTATTTAAGAGAAAACTTGTGTCCCCCAAATTGTGGTTTTGTTCAGCCTCTATACCCTGACCCTAAGGCCTCTTGGCTTGTCTTGGTCTGCCTCCATCTCCGGGACCTAGAAATTGACTAATTGTTGCACTTGCATTAGCCTGTACCTCACAGCTAGATCAAGGAGTTTGTGCTCTGGCAAATCCAGATGTGGGAAATCCAGATGTGGGAATCGGTCAAAAGCAGAGGTCATGGCTGACTTGACTCTAAACAAAGTCTGTGAGGCTTTTATGGGGATCCAAGGGGCTTTGTAATTTGTGACTTATATGTAGGACTACGGATTTTTTTTCTTTTCCAACTTCGCTATTATCTCAGCTTTTAAGTGTACATTGTGAGCTTGTTGCCCGGGGTAGGATTGCTTTTGGGTGGTGTTACACTCTCATGAGACAATACCGTAAAGTCCTTAAAAGGAATAGACTGAGGGTTCTAACTGTAGTTTGAGAAATCTGTTAGTGTGGTGTTTAGAGCCTGTGTCTGTGGAGATCCCACCCTCCCCCTGGTTGTTTGTCGTGGAGAAAGCAGCACCTGGCATTTGTATCGTCAGGAAGTCGGCCTTCCAACTGTAGTGGGTGCTGAACACGTACCTGGACTATCTGGGAGAGGAGAATACAAGGAGCCCTGGCTATGCCTGTGATGATGGATCAGGGGGCCAGTTGGATTTCCACATCAGTTTGAAAATAGAAGTTGAGCATTTAGCAGCTCTTTCGGAAGGAACATGCACAGTGGGAATTTACTTGCAAAAGTATCTCTGATGCTCTATGTTCTGTAAAAGAACCTGGGATGGATTGGGGACCAACTCAGACTTCTGTGTAATGTGGCTCAGAAGTGGTTGGACTGGTTATACAAAAAGCCCTAGGTTCCCAACTTTAGATTATCTATTATATTTGTAAGAGAGAAATAATTTTATCATTCAATGGCATAATGTACAAAATGCGTTTAACCTAGGGCTTGACACCTAACGGGTACACACCATCATTTCTGGTTTCATCACATTCCAGCACAGTGGCATGCACACAAATTCCTGCCTCGGAGGAGTTTGCAGTATGGCAGAGACCAGTAGTGTACATGTTATGATGAGATGTAGGGTAGGACTTAGGAGCCCATATCAGAGGTCCAAGATGGAGAGGCGTCTCTGAGTTATTAATAAAAGCTTAGTAAACCCAAAGCACTACAGAAATCCAGTGTTTGGTAAACTACTTAACACACATGAGATCTGTTTTTCAACTAAAGAGAACACACACAAGATATATTTTTCTAATGTCCATACATAGAATTACTGGGGTGATGTTTCATAAAATGCACAGCCCTGTATGCAATGCTCAGGTCATCTCGCTGTTCCTTGGGTTGTAGGGAGAAACCTACAATTGTTGCCAGCTTTTTTACTTTACCTTGTTGTTTCCCACTTGCTAAGTAACAATCTGAAAAGTCCATGCTACCTGGACATGAGTGACAGTTGAGCTGGGCTGCATATTCAGTTCACTTCTGCTTTCTAACAAAATTGTTACTGTGTACTAAATTTCTCCTTGGAAGCTATAATACCTGGGTCCGTTTGTAAGAGCTTGACTGTCATCTCCCACCCCTCTTTCCTCATTTGAAATGCAATAGAAAAACAGTGGGGATGTTGTCTCATTGGATGCTGTCAGGTACACTGGCTGTTGCTCTCTGGAAATATGGATACTGTTATGAAGGAACACTGTCCCCGTATTTCTGCCTTCTGCTCAGTAATATGTGTGTGCGTGCATGCTTGTGTGTGTGTGTGTGTGTGTGTGTGTGTGTGTGTGTGTGTGTGTGTGTACTTAATGTTACATTTAAAGAGTTACTTGTAGCCAGTGACTACCATTGTGGTCTAGTTTGATCTGTTATTGAGTACTGGTAATGTCAACACTTCGCAATATACCTGTATCTAAAGATTGTTCAGGCTGGTTTCAGTTCTGGGGTACATTGTAACACAGAAAGCACAGTGACTCTTCTTTGGTATGGAAGTCTCTGGCATCTTAGTAACTTGCTGTAAAACACGGGTGATCTTTCCAGCCAGGCACTAAAGCAAGCACAGGGTTTGGAAGTTGATTGGCACTGTGGTGTGAAGCACCTTCTAATAAAAGAATCAGATTAGGAATCAAGAAGAAATAGGGCTGGCTAGATGGTTCTGAAGGTAAATGTACCTGCTGTGCTGGCCTACCCAGCTGACTGCAAACCCATATCCTGTGCAAACACATCAGAGTGGAAATAGAAAACTTGACCCCACAAAGTTCTCCTCTGACCTCCACATGTGTAGCCCTCTCCCACTATAATAGTATTGAATACAGTAAGTTTAAATATATATGTGTGTGTACATATATATATTTACATATATAAAGAATGGGGAAGGAAGCTATATATACACATACATATAACACATGTATAAAACATATATATACATATATATATATATATATATATATATATATATATATAATGCAGAACAAGGGCAGTGGGATCTGGTGTACCCACTCAGCGCTAGACATTTCATTTACTATCTAATAAAATAGGAAGAATTAGAAAAGCAATCTGAAAGGAGAAAGGTCAGTCGGTTGTGTTTAAATGCATGGCAGTCAGCACTGCTAACTTCCTTGTCAGGTTTGTGTGGGACTGTTCTTCATATACTCATACTGATCATGAGCTCAGGGAATACATGGCCATGGGTTGCTGTTCATCTTTGAGAAGTACTGTTTAGCTCAGTTAGTCTTTCACAGTCCTGAAAAAGTCATGAAGAGGCATGGCTCTTCTCCCGTTGTTCTGTGCTGTTGACCTGTTTCCCTGGACCATGTTTTAATTTCAGGGCTGGGAATAGCATTGATGAAATCCTCCCTGGGCAGCTGGAAGCCTTTCAGTCCCTTGAGGCCTTGGACCTGAGCAACAACAATATTTCAGAGCTTAGAACTGCATTTCCACCCTTACAACTCAAGTATCTGTAAGTACAATTACCCAAGCCTTTCACCCACAGTGAGAATTTTGTTATAATGGGGGTGGGCTTTAAGATATAGTAAACTCGATTTTACTGTTGTTGGATTGAAATGTAACTTTCTTATTGACTAAAATTGGCAATAAGCCTAAATAGGCACAATCTCCTTTCTTACCATTTTGTATCCCAGTTTAAAAACAAAAAAACAGTGCCCCAAACTAGAGCCTTGTTGTATTTTATTAATAACTAATTCCACACAAAGTCTTTATATATCTGTAACAAACACTGTCACCTTTTAAGATCTCAGTCTTTTCTGTCACTATGTATTAGTTACTTTACTTGCTGCTGTCACTCACTTCCTGACAAGAACCCACTTAAGGAAGGGAGGGACTTAATTTGACTGACAGTTCGAGGGCACAGTCCATCTTGCCAGGAAGGCATGATGGGAGAAGCAGTAGGCAGCCCTGTCACAGTGTGGACAGGAAGTTGGACCAGACCATAAAACCCCAAGTCCTGCCCTCTGTGGTTTACTTTTTCTAGCTAGGCCCTGCCTCCCAAAGGTTTTACAACTTTCTAAAGAAATGTCGTGTGCTATAGAATAAGTGTTCCAGTGCATGAGCCTGCACAGGGCATTTTATATTAAAGCTACAGTGAATCTTTACTTTTGTTATTTTTCTGATACTGGATATGGAACCCAGGGCTTCTTCACACATAGCAGGTGAGGATTCTACCCATATATGTAAACCTTAATTTGTTTACAGGGACCTCAATGTTAACAACTTTAAGTGGTCAGCTTCTCTGGAGAAGCTTTTGCACTGGGGAGATTGAATGCACTTTACCTTCCCAAAAGAAACCTGAGCAAACCTCTGACTTTCAAACTCTCAACAGGTATATCAATAGCAACCGAGTTATGTCCATGGAACCAGGGTATTTTGACAATTTGGCGAGCACACTCCTGGTGCTGAAGCTGAACAGGAATCGAATAACAGCTATCCCCCCCAAGATGTTTAAACTGCCTCAGCTGCAGCATCTGTAAGTGCGCATGGTCTCCTGGATGTCATGTTCTCACTTCTACACCTTTGGTGTCTGTATTCTGATGTCCACAGTAGGGTAGGAGAAGTTTAGGGGCAAGCAGGTGATGGCCCTCCCCTTTCATGGCAAGAGTGGTGGGATCTCCAGATTGGGAAAAGCTTCCTAGTAACCTCATGCCAGCTGCTGCCTGACAAGACATGTTCGACAGCTGATGAGGGAGCAAGCAGTGTGATGACTGAGCGGCCCTTTCACAAAGGTGCCATTGTGGACCTGGGGAAACCACAGGGTCTCTCAATAGCTGCGGTTTATGAGAATAATGCCAACAACTCTGGGACGCCTTGATAGCCTAAGTGGCTGTAAAGAACTGTCTTGTTAAGAATGGTAGAATGGTTTGTGAAGAGACTCCCACTAAAGAACTGTCTGGTTAGCGCTTTTCAACCCTGGCTGTGTATTACAGGGACTTGGGAGCTTTTCAAAACCCCAGCGCCCAGGCTGCACCCTAGACCATTTATACTCAAAATCTCTCAGGGTTGTAATTTGGGCTTTGGGAACTTTCAAAGCTCCCTAGGTAGTTCCAGTGTTCGGCAGAAATAGAGAGCTATAGCCAGCAGGAAAGTACCAAACTGAAACTGATTGGGAACACCAGTAACCAACTTGGCATACCTCCTGGGATGGTTATCCTTTTGATTCTGCATCAGTGAAAGATGAATCTCAATTTGTTTGCTGCTGCCCTTGGTGGACAACAGTATGGAAATGAAAATCTAATGTACTTCCTGTATTATTCCAAAAATATATCATGAGTTTTACACGGACATTCACACCCTGTAATAAATAGAAAAGGAAGGGGGAAGGAGAGAGAGAGAGATTGAGATTCTTGTCAATAAAAAGAGTGGATGGGGGTAGGGGAAGAACTGCAGCCAGTATGTAAAATAAATGAAAAAAAAAAGTTTAAATAAAAACAAAGTCTGGGAATTTTAAAACCTTCTGTGTAGTTTACCACTGGTTGGGTTATATATATTGTAGTATATGACACATTTTATTACTACCTCTCAAATTTTACTGTCGTATGGACTAATTGCTTAATTGTAACATCTAATGCAGTGAGCTGAACCGGAACAAGATTAAGAACGTGGATGGGCTCACATTCCAAGGGCTGGGGGCACTGAAGTCTCTGAAAATGCAAAGAAATGGAGTAGCAAAGCTTATGGACGGAGCTTTCTGGGGGCTGAACAACATGGAGATCCTGTAAGTGTGGGTTATCTCGGTTCCCACTCAGAGGGAATGACCCCAGGGTACTCAGTGGACCTGGACCCTTGTAGCCCTTATTTGAAAACCCACATTAAATTCTTATGCTATACAATCACGGCTATAATTTGCTACTAAGCTATGTCTCCGGCCACCTGAGAATTGAGAAGTGCATAAATCTTTCACTGATGTCTTTATATATCAAAGCCAAGTATCTAGGCACATCAGGGGTGCATCATGGTTTGCAGCCAGCCAAGCATGTCGAGACTAGATTATGAACTCTGGATCCCGCCTTTGGTTCTCGTTGTACGTGCAGGCAGCTAGACCATAACAACCTCACGGAGATCACCAAAGGCTGGCTCTACGGCTTGCTGATGCTTCGGGAGCTTCACCTGAGCCAGAATGCCATCAACAGGATCAGCGCTGATGCCTGGGAGTTCTGCCAGAAACTCAGCGAGCTGTAAGTTCCCTTTTATTCTCCTTGGGTTCCAGAGCAGAGATCACGCTGGGGCCGGTAGTTCTTAGCACCCATCTGTGACATTTTCATAACAAAGTCTCCCAGGCGACAGCAACTTTCCTAGGTGCCCTATGTTGTCACTGTATTTTTGCTTGTGATGAAGTTGAAGCCAAGAGCTGCGCTCTTCAGCTCTGTGGGACACATTGACAAAAGCAGTCATTCATGGACCATTTATTTAATTTTAATTGCTGAGGTGAGAAGTAATGTTTACTTGGCTACTGCTAGGGCAGATTGTTAAAACAGGGTTATTATAGTTACATTTCTTACCTCTCTTTTAGAAAACAGATTATTGCATTGAATGGAAAGAGAAAAGCTAATTTTTTGTTGTTGTTGTTATTCTTTGCAGGGACCTGACTTTCAACCACTTATCTCGGCTAGATGATTCCAGTTTCCTCGGCCTAAGCCTACTAAATACCCTCCACATTGGGAACAACAAAGTCAGCTACATTGCTGATTGTGCCTTCCGGGGGCTTTCCAGTTTAAAGACTTTGTAAGTTACACATTTGGCTCTCGGTGCACGAACCTAATTGGTTCCTAAATGTGCCCACTTTTCTCCCAGCAGATCTCCTTTGTTGTTGAGGAAATGTGTACAGCCTCAAAAGTGGGGTCTTAATCTTTCCCAGAGCAGTTTGATTAGAATAGATCCATTTCATCCACGTGTGTTTCTTAAAGGGATTAAAAGGGACACTGATCGGGGTTCTCAGTGATTGCAGTTTCCCTTTGCAGGATCACTAGGAAGTTCAGAACTTCTGGAGAAAGAAACAATTTTAAGTCCGCTGATTTCTTTTATATAAAACATAGATTAAAAATAACCTGGAGGAAAATAAAAAGTTATAGGAAGGGCCTTGAGGGGAGGTAAATGTTGGCTCTTCTGGTTACCCACCACCTGATTTCTCTCCTAAGAGAAAGACATTTGTTGTATTGACTGACGGTTTGAAAAATCTCTCCAGCAGTAATTGAATGTGGTGCAAAAGGGGCTTTGAGCTCTTCAGAAACCAGCACCGTGTCCAGTCTGAGCCATTCCAGAGTGGAAAGATATGTGGCATGCTTTGGCACATGCATGTCTGTTTGTGTGACGGGAGCTTGGTTTTAACATTGAATGTATTTTTCAAGTTGTTGGAGACTTCAGGGTCTAGCCATCTTGGTAGAAAGTTTAACAGGGCTGAGGTGGCTGCCTTGGTTTGGGGAAAATTTTTTTGAACTGTTGAGCACAGTGTTCAGGGTGTGAGAGGCACCCTGGAGAGCTGAGTTTCTTATTCTGTAGTGGGTGGAGCTGGTGGGCGATTGGGTGGACTTTGGGCACACCTGGCAGGTGATCTGAGGTTTCTGAGAAGTGTGTCTAAGGAGAACACCATGTTTTCCTTAGGGATCTGAAAAATAATGAAATCTCATGGACCATTGAAGACATGAATGGAGCCTTCTCTGGGCTGGACAAATTGAGGCGTCTGTGAGTATAATTTGCCTCTTAATTTGCCTCTCTATGACTAAGATTATTGTCTTAATTGAAGTCATATCCATAACTGACATCATAGAGACATTAGTGGTAGATACGTCATCTGGTTGCGCCCTTGGTCCTTCCCCCACGTACATGCTATTGCACAGGATGTATGCATATTAACTAACTTTTCTTCCTCGGATGAAAAGAAGAAATTTCAATCCCAGAGTTTGTCTAACTCATTTTGATATCTGGATAAGAACCTTGAAGTTTATTTTGACTGCTACCCATTAGGAATGATCTCTGTATTGAAGTGGAATGTGTTTACACCAACATTTTGATGCCCCCAACAATGTGCTATAGTCATGAGTTCTCAAACGAAGCAGCCCACTGTCCATCAATCACACTGCATCAGGGTTAGAGAGGATGCAAACTCTTTATATTTATCCATGCAAATGGTCTTGTAGATTGTGCGGTTTTCATTTGGTGATGAAGGGTGTCCCCAGAGAGGAGGGGGACAAGCTACCGTGTGGGGCAATGGGACCCTCAGAGGAACTTAGTAGCTCTTCTGTTGCTGTAGTAAAATGCCATGACCAAAAGCAAAAGAGTTTGTCTTGTCTTGTGGCTCTAGACAGCTAGATATTCATGCTGGTCGGGAAGGCATGGCAGCAGCAGTGGGAAGCTAGGAGACCACATCTCTGGCACATGGACAGGAAGCAGAGTGACCTGGTAGTGTGGTGTGCAACCAACTCCCAAAGGCTCCCCCCAGTGATGCACTTGCTCCATCATATCCTAAGAGTTTTATAACCTCCACAAACAGTACTGCCAACTGGGGGCCATGGGTCCAAAGATATGAACCCATGTGGGCATATCCCAATCAGTCTTCTACATGGAGGTGTCTGTTGAATGCTTTGAAACTCATGTTAAATCATGTTACTGAGCATGATAAGAGGGGTCCAGTATTTCAAGTTACATTGCTTCATTGAAGAAAATAGTATTGTTCACAATGAGAATTGTGGTCCCTTTTATAAGAGCTCTGTTCCTAAAATGACTGTTAAAAAATTTGCGACTGTCGGGTGTTGGTGGCAGAGGCAGGCGGATCTCTGTGAGTTTGAGACCAGCCTGGTCTCCAAAGTGAGGGCCAGGATAGGCTCCAAAGCCACAGAGAAACCCTGTCTCGAAAAACCAAAAAAAAAAAAAAAAAAAAAATTTACTCCAGTGTTATTGTACCTTTCCCCCCACCCTCCAGAATACTCCAGGGAAACCGCATTCGATCTGTTACCAAAAAGGCCTTCACTGGTTTGGACGCATTGGAACATCTGTGAGTAGCTGGAATTGAGTTCCTCTAAAAGTGGTCCCAGACAGTTTCTGTTTATGACTCCCGAAACATGAAACAAATACCCTGTGCCAAGGACATCCTCCCTGTACTATAAAACAAATTTACACATCTACCTGTCATCTATCAATCTTGCTTCCTATTTACCTGCAGGAGCTTACCTGTTTGTTTTCTTAAGGCATTTAAGAACATTGCTCTACTTTCATGCTTATTCATCTTTATAAGCAGTGACAACTTTAAAACAATCCACCCTACATTGGGTCCTTATCATAGTCTGGCCACTTTGCCAGGTACTGAATATGAATATATAATTGTCTATTACTCCATTTAGTACTTACTTGCTATCTTTCTAAAATGGTAAATGCGATTCCTGATGATTCGGGGATTGTGTTTAACAGTTAAGATAACTTGAATATTAAACATCGAAAAGATGTCCTTGAGAGGGAAGTGGTGGGGCTTTGAGAGTGGATGACTTGTCATGGGAACCTTTGCTGTTACTCGCTGTAAAATGTACAAACTAGCCTTCTCTGTTCCTTTGTTCGCTTCCCACACATCAGTTGGGGATTGCCAGGAAAACACAAGATCGGGCTTTTTCTGGCTTCAGAAAGATCCTGTATCCCTTTAGCCTCTGACTACTCAATCCATGCCCCGTCTCAGGAACCTTTGGACACATTTGTGAAATGAGATTTCAGGGTGGAGGGTTTCCAGCTACTAAAAGAGGACACTAACCCTGGGGAGTATTGCTTAAATATTATGACAACTGACCCAGCCAACTGTTAATATTAGCTTCACATTTGGATAGTCAAATCACAGTATAGTTTAGATTATGTTTGCTCTATGGAGGAATGCTTGTAGCCAAAAGTTTTCCTATATGTTAACATGGACAAAAATACCTCACCAGGCCTGTGTATTCGGGTGTTACCTCTCAGCTGCCTTGTGGGCACCTCCCAACCGTACTTGTTCTGAGACAGACATGGATTGCCAGCCCCAATGATAGCGCCGCTGTTGGAAATTGCAGAATGAGTCTGCAAAACTGAGTGCTGCCATGTCAAGCCAAGATTGCTGTTATTGAAGCAGATTATTTTCAGAGGAAAAGTAGCCAAAGCGTTTGTCAACTGGCCCATTCCGTTTCTGGGAAAGTGGAATTAGTGGATCAGTGGAGTATTAACCTCTGCTTCAATTTTCTTTAACCTTCCCTGATTCTACCAGACGCTTTCCCCACCCAAGTCTGGCACCTTCATCCTTTGGTTTCTAGTCTACTTGTCTCATTCAACCACCTCCCCCTTATGTGTTATGAACTGTGAAAAAAAGAAAGAGAGAGAGAGAGAGAGAGAGAGTAACCATTTGTAGCTGGTAGTTTAATTCCAACTGTTTTAAAGTACTAGTTAAAAACAAAGTCAACACAGACTGTCCTCTCATTTTATGGATGGCCTGCCTGAAACCGTATTTGCTTTAATGAGCACATCTCATGTGAACATGACTGCCTTTGCAGTGGTGAGCTGTGTGTGATGGAATTAGGCTGGAGTAGAAAATAATGGGCTCAAAGATCTCCTTCCCCTCTCATGCCAAGCTGCACAGGAGAGCCATCTTTCTCTAGGTTGCTTTAGGAATACCTGCATTAACTTATATCCAAACACACGTCACAGAAAGTAGGCTGCAGAAGATTATTATTTTTTTAAATGTGCAACCATAAGGCAATAGGTTTTATACTTCATTAAGAGCAAATTTGAATAATGAGAAGTAAATGGCAGGCAGGTCAGCCAGAGCCTTTGAGGAGTCAACACTCCGAGAGTGGTGATGGAAATGACTCTTTGCCCCACAGCCGAACCAATCTCTGGCTTCCCTGGTCAGAGCTTTCTAAGGGATCTCACTGAAGTAGTCCCATTCACACATTTCAACATGGAGTATTTGCTTGCCGAATAGGGGTGTGAAGTGGTGTGTGACCCACACCTTAAGGACACACCCTAGCTGTAGTTAACTCTGTTGTGATTGATTTGGCTATTTTCCAGAGACCTGAGTGACAACGCCATCATGTCTCTGCAAAGCAATGCGTTTTCCCAAATGAAGAAACTTCAGCAACTGTAAGTTTTTCCTTTTTCTTCTCCAGTTTCAAATAAAGCCCAAAAGGGGAGCTACTGTGTGATATGTCACCAAAAAAACAGTGTCTAGTGCATTCTTAACATTATTAATGTTTATACCAGGAAACAAGGGAAGTGGGTTATTTGTTCCCTTGGTTGCAACTGGAATTTCTTTTTCTCTCTGTTTTGAATTTGCAGCTTAAAATTTGTGGGACCATATATAGTATGGTTCCTAAATATAGTTCTCATGTTGCATTAGTTAGGAATTTTGATGTATCAGCACTTCTGCCTCAATAGGACAATCAGAACAACAAAGACCAAGGGCCCTGCTAGCTCAATTTCTTGAATCTTAAGGTAGACTATAGAATATTTACAACACCGTGTGTTTGGTTTCCAAATTCCTCACTTGGTTAATATTTATTTAAGTTTGACTTACTTGTAGAAGTCTGCACTTCATACTAAACAAATTGAATGTAATTCCTCTCCTCAGGCATTTAAATACATCAAGCCTTTTGTGTGATTGCCAGCTAAAATGGCTCCCACAGTGGGTGTTGGAGAATAACTTCCAGAGCTTCATAAATGCCAGTTGCGCCCACCCTCAGATGCTAAAAGGGAGAAGTATTTTTACTGTCAGCCCAGACGGCTTTGTGTGTGGTAAGTAAAAGTATCATCCTTGATTTTTATTAATTCCTTTTTCCCATTGTTTGCCCAAATAATTGTTTTGAAGAGAAGATTTGTGTTCTCTCAATAGATCTTTCCTTTCCGCTGAGGTAGACAAAGTGCATCTAGAGTTTGCTGCCTGTTAACATTTTACAGACATCGGTAGAGTTTACCGGCAGTGTCTTCGTATTTGTTTTTCCATCAGCATGGTTCGGTGGCAGGAATGAAATCGGATCTTGAATGAGCTGGGAGTAGACCCAGCTTCTTCTTCTTCTTCATTTCCCCAACCTTCCTCTGCACCCAGGCAGTGGAGGCATGCATGTTACTGGCTTTTGACGCTGGTTGTGTAGATGGCATGTCAACAATTATCTGTTGTGATGCTATGTTGATTCTTGCTCTCTTGACTTTGCTGTTATTTCTGGAGACCATGAAGAAAATTGTAGTTGCTAGTAGAAGTTTCAAAGATGGTCCCTGAGTCTGGGTGTTGCAGTCTTCCATGTGTTCCTGGAGATCAAGGCTGGGGCCTGGTTGTGCAGGGAGCTAGAGCTCCTCCACCGAGGCATCACCAACTCCACATTCCTCACAATTTTGTTTGCTTTTATTTTTTGAGATGGGGTCTCACTGAGTTGTTCGGGTAGCCTGGAACTTACTCCACAGTCCAGCTGCCTCAGTAGGTGGGTTCCTAGCTCCGAGATACTGGTCCAGGGAAACTGAAGACCTCTTAACTGCCATTTGCCCCCTTTTAAAATTCAGTGTTCTGTTTTTAAAAATTATTTTTACTAATTCATATATGTGTGTGTGGTTATTTTCACAAATTCATATATATAGGTATACATATATATGCATTTTCTTCCCCCATTATATTAGCTTTTCTCAGCCCCTTTTCCACTGCCCACCAAGCCCCCATCTTCCAGCATCCATCTCATTATTTCACATCTTTTTTGCTGCCCCACTATGTGTTTAATAAGTGTTGTCTACAGAAGCATGGTTGGCTGCATTATTTACTTATGAAAGGGCAATGCCTGGTAGCTACATGACTCCCCACTCCCTCAGCAACTATAATTGCCTATAGCTCTCAGGAAGGGGTGGGGCCAACAATAACCCCCTCCCTCACCCAAGATGACTCCTGGATGGGTGGGATCTTGTGTATTTGTTTAGTTTGCTTTCTGCTCTTTAACTCTGGAGTTTGTAGGAAAGAAAACTCACTAGCCAAGGAATTAGGGCTGTTGAGATGTTAACTGTTGGCAGGTAAAGCATGAAAAGGAAGGGCCAGTTTGAGTTTATTGTAAATCATCTTAAGATCCATTGTCTTAGGAACCAAGAAACTCAGTATTTGAAATCTTTTTTTCCCAGAATTCCTGTGGCTAGCCCGGAACAGACTATGGTTAAGAAAATAAAGTTTCCATCTCCAATACAATTTTCTGTCATAGACATCAGTCTGTTCTTTACACTTCGCTGCCTTGGAAACCTTTACAAAAATAAATGTGTGTATAAAACAGAAAAATCAAAATGTGCTTAAATTTAAGCATGTGTGAGAAGAAACTACAGGCCCACATTTTACCCGGGCATTTAAAACCTCACTACACACTGCTCTGCCTGCAAATATATACATATCTACCTCAGGCTACAGAATTTCATGATGCCAGCAATTTGGGGAACTAAAACCTCTGATGTAGGTTTTGGAACCAAATAAGCTTTTGAAGACCATCCACAAAGCTACTCCTTCTCCACATTCTTCATCTCACAGTTCTCTGACCCGGATATAGGAACTGTGCTACTGTGAGACACACTCATATGCAATGCCGATAGTCCTTGTCTATTTTTTCCCTTCTCCATTGTGAATCAGAATATTGCTTTATCACACAGAAGAAACTGTCCTATTTAACAACCCACAGACGTAGGGTTGGAAGTTGGCAGCCAAGCCATGGTCAGTTCGGCTCCCTGATTCTGTTCATGGACTCCAGAAGCTTACCCTTTCAGATTAGCCAGCCGTTATCCAGAAGTCCATGTTGGGAGATCTGCTTGTTCTCTTCAGGGTTTATTTAGGCCATCTGTGAGAAACTGAAGTTCAAAAAAGGTGACTCTTCCAAAAAGTAACAGAGAACTAAAAATAACTGTTTAGAATGAGAGAGTTGCCCAGCTCTAATTATAATGTAGCCCCGACAGGCTGTCCAGCAGCGTGATTGATGGACTGACCCACTCCAGGCCCCAGCCAGGGTGCTAGCTTACACATGCTTTTTCGTTTGCATGATTTATTTTTGACTTTTTTTGTTGTTTGCTTTTTGTTCATTACTGTCATTTCTTAATCTATTTGTGTGTGTGTGTGTGTGTGTGTGTGTGTGTGTGTGTGTGTTGTGTGTACTCAGGTGCCCATAGGGCCAGAAGAGGAATCGGAACCCTAGTAGAGGCAGTTATGAGCTGAGCCCTGTGGTGGGAGGGGGGACACCAATCCCAGGTTCTCTACAAGAGCAGCCAGGTCTCCCCAGCCGCTTGTTGCTGTCTTGATGCTATGGGTTGTGACGATTTGCCTTTGATGTTTGCTTGCTTATGTTTTTTTGTTTGTTTGTTTGTTTGTTTTTTGATGGAGAGCCTGGGAAAAAGGATTGTAGTTGCTGAGAATAGCATTCAACAATCATTTGTGAGACTGGAAGTTTTTAAAATGCTTTTCTGCCTTAAAAAAAAGGTAGTTAATATGGTAATTATGGTAATTATACTTGTGTTCAGGTACACCTTTGGAATTGGGTACCTGAAGATGAAGATGTCCTATGAGCTGATCAGACTACCATCACCTCAAACTGAAATCATTTCCTTGGGCTGGGGACTTTGCTAATCCTCCCTATGGGCTCTTTTAAAACAATCACTTAATAACCGTCACCCTGCCTTACCCCATTGTATCACTCAGTTTTAAATATGGTCTGATTTCTCTTGTGCCTTCTTAACTGCTCTTCTTATGCTTATACGAAATACCAGATATGTGGCATAAACTTTTATAATAATTTCAAGGTAACGCTTCTCTCAGATAAATAATGATGGAGCCTTCGTCTCCACTGGGCCCCGGCAGGTTACCTGTGAGCATTCTCTCAGGTTGCCACTCAACCCTGGGCCAGCTGATGTGTCTGTAACACACAGGCATGGAGACAACCCTGAGATACTCTCTACTTTGTTCCCTAGTGCTGGCATTTGATCGGCGGTGTATTCTGAGGCCTTCATGTCATTTTGTTTCCTCCTTCTCCATTTTAAACAGATGATTTCCCTAAACCCCAGATCACAGTTCAACCAGAAACACAGTCAGCAATAAAAGGCTCCAATGTGAGTTTTACCTGCTCAGCTGCCAGTAGCAGCGACTCCCCAATGACTTTTGCTTGGAAAAAAGACAATGAACTACTGCAGGATGCTGAGATGGAGAACTACGCACACCTCCGGGCCCAAGGGGGTGAGGTGATGGAGTACACCACCATCCTGAGGCTGCGCAGCGTGGAATTCACCAGTGAAGGGAAATACCAGTGCGTCATCTCCAACCACTTTGGTTCATCATACTCTGTCAAAGCCAAGCTCACTGTAAACAGTAAGTGATCCGCTTTCCTCCAGTGTTTAAAGATACCATTTAGAAACAGCTACATTGTCTCTCTGCTCCCCTTCCTCTCTCTTCCCCACAACCCCTGCTTTTCTTTTTCATAGTTTCCCATGGAACTACACAAAAATCACTATTTTTTCATTATTTGTATCTAAAACAATGATTATATGGGATTCACCTCTCCGAATGTGGAAGGATGGACCAGAATTAAAATGAACCGGATACTTTGGCTCTCTCTGGGGTATTGTGATGTGTAGGGCCACACAGCATACTGCCTTCAACTAAGCTCTGAATGAGAATCCTGCCACTCCAGATATGTAGTTATGACTCTCAGCAAGTTTTACCTTCCGTACCTTTATCTTCCAATTAGAGATGGGGGTTGGAGAGATGGCTCAGAGATTAAGAGCACTAACTCTGGCGTTCAATTACCAGCACCCACATGGCTACTCACAACTGTCTGTAACTATGGTTTCAGAGGATCTCACACCCTCCCACAGACATACACGTGCAGGCAAAACACCAATGAAAGGAAAAATAAAATTTAAAAAAGATGCTAGATACCATTTCATTGAAATGTCATGATCCATCAATCAGATAATGCAAGTGTCAGTGGCTTGGTGGAGCACCTTGGTGTTCGGGTAGTGCTCAGTAAATGCATTCGTAGTGGCCACTGTCAATAAACAGGAGTACTGTAGCATCTTTTGCATGGCAGGCATACAATTCTACAATTCTAAGATTGTGTTTCAGATGCTTTCAACACTATCATTTTAACTGTTACTGTCTGTCTAGTAGAAGATTTGGGATATGATTTATTAATGAATTCATTGAGCAGGCAATTGCTAAGGCCTGGCACAGAGGGAAGTTTAGAGTGGAGAATGGGATAAAGCCACAAAATGTTAGGTCCTGCAGGACTGGGAAAAGAATAGATGGAAGTGAATGGGCACAGTACGGAGAGAATTATTGATTTTCCCAAGAACTCACACTTAATTATTGAAAAAACTAAAATGTGGCCAGAGAATGCCAGCAGGATCTTCAGGCAGAAAGTCCTGTGAACTGAGTGTCATTCCAACTCCTACCAGAGCAAGCCATTTCTTTTCTCCAAATCAAGTTTAGTTTCTCTGTCTTAGAGTCATAAACCTGCTGTACCTAAGTCAGGTGTCTCCGTGAGTGCCTGGAAGAGGAGCAGTGCAGCTGACCCTCGGAACACCGGTCACACCTGCATGGCTTTTGTGATTTCAGTGTTGCCTTCCTTCACCAAGACCCCCATGGACCTCACCATCCGAGCCGGGGCCATGGCCCGCCTGGAGTGTGCTGCCGTAGGACACCCTGCACCACAGATAGCCTGGCAGAAGGATGGAGGCACAGACTTCCCAGCTGCCCGGGAGCGGCGTATGCACGTGATGCCTGAGGATGACGTCTTCTTCATAGTGGATGTGAAGATCGAAGACATCGGGGTATACAGCTGCACTGCTCAGAACAGTGCGGGCAGTGTTTCCGCGAATGCGACCCTGACTGTGCTAGGTGAGGCAGACAGTTTCTTAAGACTCTGAGTCTCTCCTGAAAGCCCCAGCTCACCCAGAGGCTGCTCAGGAACATGGGTAGATGAAAATACAGACAGTTCTGCCTTCAAAAGAACAAGCAGCCTCTGGGCAGCTTTGAAGCCAGGGGGCATTTTACATATCTCCCTCTGGCCAGGGAGATGAATCTGCCCCTTTCACTCCAAATACAGTCTCCAGAGTTGTCTTTGTGGGCAGGGATTATTCACAACTCTTGGTCATCTCAGTGTTGTAAGGAATGTGTAAGAAAGTGTCTATAGATAGATGAGGAAGACCTCTTCTCTTTGTTCCACCTCCCACGTCTCTGTGGAAGTCCCAGTTCTTTTACCACCTACCTAAACAGGTGTTTGTCAGATTTGGAACTTGTTCATAATTCATGTATCTTTGGGAGAGTTCCAATAACCTATCAAGATGCTGGATAACAGAGGAGGTCCTTTCAAGGTTTTCATGCAGACCTAGGTATCTGGCATGAGAAACTTATTTAAAAAAAAAAATGAGCATGGGGCTGGAGTGGGGGCTCAGTTAAGAGTGTGTACGGTTTACTGCTTCAGACGACCCGAGTTTGGTTCCCAGCACTCATGTTGTCAGTTCACACCTCCAGAGAGCTCACCATCTCTGACATCCACAGGACTCTCTCCTGCATACACATTTCCATGCAGATACATGCATATCATATTCACAATTAAAAGCAATAAAAGGAAATCTCTAAAGAGCGTTCGACTTTTTTGACATATCAGCACAGTCTTGTCCATGAAATTATCTTTGTTACTCATTTTCTAGACTTCAAAAAAATGTTCTATCTTCCTCCTGCTAATTTACTAACCTTGGTACGAATGAAGGTGGTTGAGGTGAAAACTCCAATTTTACCCTTAACTAGTGAGATGGGTGATGTGATCCAAGGTTGCCTCGTTTGGGGGCTCTTTAATGAGCTGTAGGAGTATACAATCTAAATAAATTCACCTGCTAGGTCTTATGTGGAACCCAGTTCTCATTTAGGAAATCAAAACCTTGTACTTTCAGAGACACCATCATTTTTGCGGCCTCTGTTGGACAGAACTGTCACCAAGGGAGAAACAGCGGTCCTGCAGTGCATCGCTGGTGGGAGCCCACCGCCCAGGCTGAACTGGACAAAAGATGACAGCCCATTGGTGGTGACCGAGAGGCACTTTTTTGCAGCAGGCAATCAGCTGCTGATCATCGTGGACTCGGATGTCAGCGATGCCGGAAAGTACACGTGTGAAATGTCCAATACCCTGGGCACCGAGAGAGGCAACATGCGTCTCAGTGTGATTCCCTCTCCCACCTGCGACTCCCCTCACATGACCGCCCCGTCCTTAGACGATGACGGATGGGCCACCGTGGGCGTCGTGATCATAGCCGTGGTTTGCTGTGTGGTAGGCACATCCCTCGTGTGGGTGGTCATCATATACCACACAAGGCGGAGGAATGAAGACTGCAGTATTACCAACACAGGTGTGTAAACACAAGCTTGGCCCAGGATGCGGCAGTCATGTGTATTTGTGGTTTTGTAGACATTCCCTCCTGGGATGTGTCTCCCAGCCTGAGTCTGTCTCAGAAGGGTGACTCATTTGCTGCAAGCTGCAGGAAGATGGGTAGCTAAAAACTACTGCCCCTGCCTGAAATAACGCTGATGCACAAAGATTAATCTTTATATTAAAACCTCATTGGGATATCCTGATGGCTGAGGGATCTTATCCAAAGCACGCAGTGTGAATAGCCCTTTTCCAGGATGGACGTAGGGAGGCAGGAGCCACCAGTGAGTTGGCTCCCCCTCCGTAGTAGTCCTTTATGCTCTTTGTACATTTGCACACATGGCCCGGTAGGATTTTGTTATGAGGATTAACTGCAGACTCTGCTACTGATGAAATGGAGAGCAACTCAAGGACTAGATTCCTGGTTTGAGTCATTACCTTTTGATTTTGAACATGTGGTTTTGAAATTTGGGCAGGGATGTATTTTGTGGGCAAAAAAGTAAAAATTAACTCATGGCCCAGAGCTGAAAAGTGGCCATGTGCCATTCCTGTTTTTTTCCAGATTAGATCTTCCTTTACTGACATTACAGAAACCGGAACAGTGTCTACTGTATCCTGTCAGTGCCAGAAGCTTTGGGGCAAGGCTATTGATGGAATGCTGTTGTTTGATTACAGATGAGACCAATTTGCCGGCCGATATCCCTAGTTATTTGTCATCTCAGGGAACATTAGCTGAGAGACAGGATGGGTACATCTCCTCAGAAAGCGGAAGTCACCACCAGTTCGTTACTTCTTCAGGAGGTGGATTTTTCTCACCGCAACATGACGGTGCTGGTGAGTGTCTAAGATGTCCATGGACTCTTGTTTTGAAATCACATTTGGGGGGGTGGGGGTGGGGGGAGTCCTACATGTAATAGTAAATTTTCAGAAGAAATTGGTAGCAGTGATGAGGGCCTTTAGCACAACAACAGTTCTCTCCCTCTCCCCCTTCTCTTTCCTCTCCCCCTTCCTCCCCCCTTCCCCTTTCTGTTTTTCTAGAATGGATATTCAAGTTTAATTAAAGACTAGATACTGTGGAGTGACACACATGAGTGAATTCTCAGATAAAGAGAATCGCCCCCCACCCCCACCCCAGTAGGAATAGAGTCCTTGTATAGCTGCTTGGAGAATAAGTCCAAGCAAGAAAGTGAAAGACCAATGCAAGTGAAACTTTAAAACACAGAACAAAGAAGCTTAAGAAAATGGTAGAAAGTGCAAAGTCCTCCATGCTCACGGATTGGAAGAATTAGTGTTGAGGAAAATTGCTGTACTATCAGAAGCTGTCTACAGATTCATGGCAGTCCCCACAAAATTCCCGTGTCAGAGGTCTGGAGAGATGACTCAGCTGTTAGGAGTACCTACAGCTCCTCCAGAGGACTTGGTGTTGGTTTCCAGTGGCTCACATATACCTGTAATTATATGCAAGCTCTTGCTTGTGCCCACATGCACACATACACACATATTTTATATCCTTTAGCTAAGTTCTCGAAAAACACCCTTTTTAATGGCAAAAGAAGGTAGGCAGATTAGGTCAAATTTAATTTCTCTAGGGATGTCCTATTTCCTTTACTAGCAAATGTTCCTTGGAGTTTCTTGCATAGTGTAAGAGGCCAGGTGGCTTAAAAACGACCAGGGAAAGCTGATGTCAACCAGTTGTAGGTGCCTTATGTATCTGAGACTAAGGATACAGGAGCATCTCATCATAGACCCATTGCCTGTGTATAACAGGCAGTCGTAGCACTTCCCAGATAGGTGGTTTAAAGGAAAAATGGAAAACTACATACACAAGGCTTGGCATATGCCAAAGCCTCTGCATGTGAAATGCCGCCGAGTCTAGTCTCAGCATTTTATCTTTTACCACAAGCCTTTATTGAGCATTTATATTTGCTCTGTACCAGACCACATAGTTGGGAAGGAAGCCTACTTGTTTTCAGTTTCAGTTAGTCGCTGGTGAGACAAATACTTACCAAAAGGGAAAAAAAGAAAGAAAGATAGACAAGCTGACTATGAAGACATCCTTGGCAAGACAGTAGAGACCCAACCTCAATCAGGTATAGTGCAGCTCATTAAGAACACACAAGGGAAAACTTTAAGGGACAGGGCTGAGGCATACAAGTGGCATGCTGGCCTTGAAGGTGGCACTCCCCCAGAGCACCTCCAAGGGCCCCCAACATCGCTGAGCCATAGTGTGCTTCTTTCTTAGACCATAGGGCATCCATCCTCTACCTCCATGGCAACTTTAAGGAGAGCCTATCCACAATTCACTGATAACTGTTGTATCCTTCCATGTTGTTTACTTGAACTACCAGGACATGTTTTGGTTTGGCTTGATTTTTCGGCTCAGCTTTGAGGTAGGACAATGAAAGGTTACTAGTCCATCCCCCAGTCCAGTAATCTTGAACATTTTACAGAAGGCCGTAGTGCTAAGCGTTCAAACCATGACTATACACATAGATCTGATTCTCTTAGAATCCAAATGGGGCTAGCAACACAGTTGGCACACCTAAATCAATGGCTTATCAGGACTTGTTATAGCCGCCCTGATTGGATCCCAATTTGAAACATCGGCAGTCAGGACCCAAGAATAGCTTGAATGTTGACCATTCTGAGCCCAGCTCCACAGACCTCAAGAAGTTGGAAAAAATCCCTATGTATGCATGTACCTTTTCTTTCTTATCACGTTCTAGCCAAGTTGTCTTCTGTAAATAAGGAAAATGCAAAATCAGGGAGAATATTGAATGCATTTAATACCACCAGTTTGGTGACTGAGGTTTGTGTTTTAAAGGGACCTGCCACATGGACAACAGCAGTGAAACCGACATGGAAGCCACCCCTGATCCATTTCTCTGCCCATTTGCGGGCTCCACAGGTCCCGTGTACTTGAAGGGAAGTATATACAGCCCAGATCCGTTTGACGTTTATCTCCCAGGTATGGTTTTCTTGACTGAATACAGTTCTGTTTCCTGAAAAAGACTCCATGGTATGCTAACCGTGTCTCCTTCTGTTGTGGATCCCAACTGAAAAGGTTGCAGTTCCGACCCAAGGATAGCTCTAATGGACCACTATGAGCCCTGCTACATGAAGAAAGACTGCTTCCCATGTGCTCACCCCTCAGACGAGCCCTGTGAACGGAGCCTCAACAGCATCCCGTGGCCACACTCAAGAAAGCTCGTGAACTCCATGTACTCTCAGAATGAGGGAGCTGCGGTTCAGACTCCATGTTTAAACAAGTCCTCTTTGGATTTTAGCGCAAGTCAGGAGCCAGCATTGGTTACTTCAAGTAACTCTTTCATGGGTAAGTTTATCAAGCTGGGAATCACCTAACTTCTCTGACTCAAACTCCATCTCGCTTTAGACAGTGGTTTCATTTGTGACGTTACTGCAATGTTCTCTGAGTTGCAGATGTTTCTCAAATGCAGTCAGGGCTGGGAATTGCATGTGGTTATAAATTTAATCTGTGCCTAAGCCCCAGGAGCTTTCTGGGCTATGCTGTGTGTGGCATGTACGAGACAAGAGTTTGGGGGAATGAGTTAGGAGCTGGGCTTGTCAGCCATGTGGAAAAAGTGGTTTTGGGTCCCGGCAGCCTGAGGGGTGGAGCCGTATTCTCTGCATGGTTGTGGTTTCATAAGTCTGGTGGCTTCTAACTGAACTCACAGTGGAAGCCGGGAAAGCAACATCATACCTAGCCTAGCTTCGGACAGTCGAGATGATCCTCAACAGAGGCCAGCAGTGCTTGCCCCACAAGCCAGTGCAGTTAGACAACAGCTAGTGCCGCGGGTAGATGTGAGTTTTTTTGGTCTCGGAGGGATGAGCGGAGAGTGGATGTTCTGTTTATTGAGTGAAACAATCAGAGAAACAGGCCTCGACCTGTCATGGTGTGTTTTGTGTTCTTGGTTTGTTTTTAAAGGAAAATTCCAAACCATTTTACTGACGTGTTTAAGTATGATTATTTATATACCTTACTGAAGGAGAAAAAAAAAGGAAAGTATGTTCTGCAGAACTAGGGTAGGCGTTTTAGTTAATTGGATGATATTTTGCTACAGTTGAAGAAAGGGCAAGACAAGAGTGTTGAAAGACACTGGCTGAGTATTATGCGACCTCCCTTCGTGGAGAATCGGGCTCACAAATCCTCAAGCCAGGGCTCCAGGAGCATTTTTCAATTGACAAACTTCAGAAACTTAAGTGATTAATGTCACTAAGGGTCATGAGAAAGCATTAAAATGAACATATTTATTTGGTGGTTTTAAATAAGTGGGTGTGCAGGTGTTCTGTGCTCCATTCTGTAAACAGTGTGTTCAACCTACACCTGCATAGGACTTCAGGTGTTCTGTGCTCCATTCTGTAAACAGTGTGTTCACACCTACACCTGCATAGGACTCCAGGTGTTCTGTGATGCATTCTGTAAACAATGTATTCACACCTACACCTGCACAAGACTCTGGGAAAAGCTTCTTCGTGTTAATGGAAACATGCTCACTCCTTTTCATATTCATTTACATGCTTGCAAAAGAACCCCTTGTGCTCATGGGATTTTCTTTTCTTGCAGGTACCTTTGGAAAACCTCTGAGGAGACCTCACCTGGATGCCTTTTCAAGCTTTGCAAAGCCACCAGACTGTCAGCCGAGCCCCTTTCGTGTGACAACACTTTCCTCTCCAGAGTCGGACTCTGAGTCAGAGGAAGCTGAGAAAAAAAGGACAGATCCCCGGGAGGAAAATCACAGATGTACTTACCAACAGATATTAGACACTCACAGGACTCCAGACTGCCAGCCTTGTGACTTGAACACATAGACTGGATGGGTCCAGAGGAAATCTTCTACACACTACCTCATCTGGGCTTCTATTTAAAAGAGACAGAATGCTATGTTTTTAAATGGACTTACAAAGTTTAAAAAGGAAAAAAAATGCTTTATTTATACAGAGGAACAAAAATTACAAAAAGTTATAAAAATTTTTTATACTGGGAATAACTTTCATATAAAATGCGTTTTTAAAAAGTATTTTATAACTTTGTTTTATATGAAAAATATCTTATGTAAATTAATGGTATAAGTCCATGATTATTTTATGTATTTTTATAAAGCCAGATTTCTTTTTATTGAAGAATGAATGCTAAAGCCTTTTAAATAATCCTGTCTTACACCTTTTTTTTTTTTTTTGGATAGAGGCCACTTCATTCTATTTTGCACATTACATTTAACAGAGTGTGTCATTTGGTGCCATGCCCCATTTATACAATAATAGATTTTACTGTTTTCAATGCATTTTAGACCTATCTCATTTGTATTATCACATCTCAAATGAATTAAAGTTACACTTAGCATATTAAAGTACAGCCAAAGGGCCCATTCAGCCCACTGCATCCCCTGGATAGTTAACAAACTGACGTCACATGGTTCGGAACCAAGCACACTCCAGGAGAAGGAGTCGCAGCCATCAGAAGCATTTTTCTACCTCACCAACAGATCTGTTGCTGCTGTCTGGTCACTGCTGTAGCTTAGATGACTCCATAGTCCCTGTTTCCTTAATGATGCCAATGCCTTTGTGGTCCAGTACCTAATGTCTATCCCAGGAGTTTTCCATCCACCATGGCTGGTGTCATAGCTAGAAGATTTTTGATTGCATGTCTCTGTAGTGGAAAGGGCCACGGTGAAGGTGAATTTTCATCCCTGGTTGCCATGGAATGCCATCCCACTCTTTCCTGTGCTCACTTGTCTTCACTGGATGTGGTTGGTGTACACATAGAGATGTGTCTGGACTGTGCACAGGGCTTCTAAAGTACTCCAAAACATTTGTTTTCATGAACATGTTTTACTAACTTTGCCATCCTAACTCTACTTCATTGAAATTTAAGGTATTTAAATTACTTCAACACCTACAGTCTTCTAAGATGTTTGTTTTGAACAGTATGAAGGGAGAATGTTACATGTCAAGCTTATGCACAAATGAATGAACAGAAGATTTTCAACACCGAGTACCCAGGCTCCAAGCAACAGAATAGATAAACTTACTACACTTGAAGACTCTGGTGATCAAACTGGACGTCTGTTCTTAGCAAACTCGTGTTTGTGTGTGTCATTTAAAGAAAACACTCTGGCCCATGATAAATTACCATGTTAGTGAATTTAAAAAATAATGGAAATGAGGGTATTGTTTCAGCCATTTGCAGTTTTTTGAAGTAAACTAAAATTGGTGCTTGGAAAAGTAGAATCTTCTTCGAGGGCACAGTAGAGATAAGGTTTCCCTGCTCTGTGTCCTTCTCTATTGAGAGCCAGTGGCCCAAACCTAGATCACAGCAAGCTTCCCCCTTTTATTTAGACCTTGGAATCTAGGACAGAAAGTGCATCCCTCCATGGACAACCATCAACTAGGAGGAGAAGAGATTTCCCATGTTTTGGCTTTAATCAGACTGTCAGATTTTTGAAATCTTACTGTGAATTTGTCTACATTTGTTACCTGAAGTGCTCCAAACATGGACTGACTTCTTAATTTCTTTTGAAGGAGTTATTCTTTTTCAAATTTTGACACAAAGGTTTAAGTCAACACCTTAAACATACTGGATCACTGGGTTGGACAAATGGCTCAGCAGGGAAGAACGCTTGCTGATTTCACAGAGGGCCTGGGTTCAGTTCCCAGCATCCACATGGAACTGTCTGTAGTTCCAGTTCCAGGGGATCTGATGCCTCCTGATGCTACAATCACCAGATGTACACATGGTGCCCAGACATGCTTGTAGGCAAACTTATAGACATAAAATAAAAAGAAATATTTCTTAACACAAGGAAAAAGTGGGTTCCTCAACATGATTTCACTGTGCTGGGTGGCCACACTTGTGGAACAGATAGGAATCTTACCTATCTAGAAAAAGAAGAACTGGATTCCGCTGACATCATCAAGAAAAGCGTATACACCCATGTTGATACTTCACATTGAATAAACAAATATGTAGACATTAAATTCTAAAATAACAAAGGAAAGGGCAAATGTTAAATCCATTGGTCTGCTCACTTTATTTTTGTGATATTGGGGATCAAACCAAGGGCCTCAACACATTAGAAATTTACAATTGTGTGAGCATATGTCACTCTTAGTCACAGACCTGGATGCCAGCTTGATTTGAGTCCTGTCTACATTATTCTAGCACTAAATGTGCATGGTTGGCACACGACTTAGACCTGGCCAGTGGTCACTTCCTTTTCCCAATCTTTCCACAACCTCGGAGCCCTGCCGAGTGTTCAGTTTCATGCAGTGGTAGTGAACCAGTTTCACTCTGCAACGTCTGGGGAAAATCTTGGCCCTCAAAATCTCTGAATCAACTTTACTACTTATAGCTTTGTAGAGACAAAAAGTTTATGTAAGATAGCTATTTTACCTATGTCTTACCTATGTCTTAAGAAAGGTGTTCGTGTCATGGGATGTACTCAATACTGAAGACAAACTTTAAGTGCAGGGAGGGGGGCGTGGTAGGAGCCTGCAGCTGGCAGCAGGTGGCCAAGGCAGAATGGAGTTGCAGAAACAGGAATCTGATGATGGGGCTTTTAAGGAGAAATAGGCTGATCTTTTTTCTATGAGGCATGCATATACCTGAAAGGGAAGACATGTATTAATAGGCATTTATTTAGTACTGAGGAATGAGTTTGGCCTTGGGTTACATACAGTTTACATGTATGTAACCACATGTAAACTGTCTATGTTGATAACCGACTACAATGGACAAGGTTGGAAGTGAGGAGCTGCTAAGAAAGATGGAATGAATCTCAGATGCCTAATCTCAGGCAGGGAACAATGTAGGAACAATGAGGTTTGTTGTAGATAAAGCCAGCCCAGCTTCAGACAGATTTGGGAAGTTTGAGTGATGTTCAAATGGAAATGTCAGGTTGGCAGTCAAGTATATGAATCCAGGATGATGTTATGAGCTCAGTAGTCATCATCAACATAGAGATATTATTGATATTACTGAATGACTTTGCCAGGTGATGGTGACACACACCTTTAATCCCGGCACTCAGGAGGCTGAGGCAGGCAGATCTCTGTGAGTTCAAGGCCAGCCTGGTGTACAGATCAAGTTCCAGGGCAGGCTCCAAAGTTACACAGAGAAATTCAGTCTCAAAAACCAAAACAAAACAAAAAAAAAGAATGGAAGGAAGGAAGGAAAGGAAAGAAGGAAGGAAGGAAGGAAGGAAGGAAGGAGGAAAGGAAGGAAGGAAGGAGGAAAGGAAGGAAGGAAGGAAGGGAGGAAGGAAGGAAGGAAGGAAGGAAGGAAGGAAGGAAGACTTGGAATCAAATTATTCACTAAGGGAGTAAGCAGAGAGAGAAACGAAAAGACGTCCAAGACGAGCTCTTGGTCTCTCCAACAAAAAACATCTGGGAGATGAAGAGTCCTTCATAGCTGGTTGAGAAGAACTAGTTGGCAGGAGGAGAAGCACAGAGGGTATCCTTGGAAACCAAGTAAAAAATGCCAAGGTGCATAGGATGACTCCTGACAGTCACCATGCTCAATCTGCTGAAAAGTCAAGAAAACTGGAGCCTGAGAGTCTGTCCGCCTGTTAGTTCCATGGAATCCATACATGGCTGTGAGAATAACTGGGCTGTAGTCATGGTGTAATGCCTCATGGAATGGACTCTGGGGAGAATGAGAGGGAAGAAGTGAGATGCAGAAACTCAAAAACAACCTTTTGAAGAGAAATAAGGAAGCCACCACAGGACAAAAATCCATAAGAGGGGTTTGCTTCTTTGTTTTATACAATGAAAAAACAAATGCCCAGCAAATCTTAATGTTAATGAGAAAAAAATCTAATAGAGAACTGATAACTACCGGAACTGGTGTTGGGGGGTTGGAAGAAGGTTGCAGAGAACAGTGGTTTGTCTAAATTGTCGGCTTAGATTGAAAGATGTTGTTTTAGTCAGTTTTTTCTTAAAGAGTGGGATTGATAGAATGAATGAAACACACACAAATACACATTCATACATGTATATGATTTGTCAGACTGGCACATACATGATCTTAGCCATCCAGCCCCAGCTGTCTCATGCTGAAGAGGCTGAGAGTCCAGGAGCTTCTTAGTCCACAGGGCTCGGATGTCTCAGCAGCCCCAATATGATGCTAGAGGCCTGGAGAATTGCTGAATCGTTGTTGATCCCAGGGGTAGAATGCAGGTTATCAGGCCTGGTGGGAAGTACTTTTACCCAATGAGAGGTCTCACGCAGTCCAGGAAAACTATGCTTTTGAAGAGATAAAAAGAAATAAGTAGCTTCCTGCCCGCTCTATGACTACTTCACTGGAGTCCTTGAGAACGACAGTGTCCAGAAGCCAGGAGCAAGGGATTTTGATGGCAAACCACCTGGCAAAGTGTTCCAGAAAGAGCCAGGATGTAGCTCATTTGGTATAGTGCTTGTCTGGAATGCATGGAGCCTTGGGTTTCATTCCAACATCCATAAACTCAGGTGTGGTGGTGCATGTCTGTAAATCCAGGATTTGAGAAACCAAAGCTCACCCTGTCTGTAAGAGCAAATTCGAGGCCATCTTAGGAAAAAATAAGACCCTGACTCTTTGTTTTCTTAAAGCAAAGGTGCCCAAGGGCTACATGGATGTGGGTCTTGAACAACAAAGGGATTTGAAATCCTTAAAACAGTTCCAAAACCTTCAAATGAAACAATATAACCACTAAAAACTAAAGTATAAAAGTATACTCCAAGAAAAACTACCTGCTACCAAGTTGAAGTGCATATTCTTTGGCTATCTTCTATATATACAAATTTCCAAAATATCCATTTTTAACATTCTGGAGCAGGTATTATTTTGATATACTGTGTTAATCAGACTTTTATTGCCATGACAAAATGCCTGGAAAAAAATCAAAACTCAGCAGGGCATAGATGGCACATGCCTATAATTCCAGCACTCGAGAGGCAGAGGCAGGCATATCTCTGTGAGTTTGAGGCCAGCCTGGTCTCCAGATTGAGTGCCAGGATAGGCTCTAAAGCTACACAGAGAAACCATGTCTCGAAAAAAAAAAATCAAAACTCAAGTTTAAAAGATGAAAGCTTTGTTTTGGCTCTTAGCACAAAGTTTTCAATCCTGACTTTGGAGGCTGGATGCTGCTCACCTCATGATGGCTAGTAACCAAGGGATTATAGCCCCAATCTTCCAGGGTACACCCCAATGATGTAACTTCTATCTACTACTAAGCTTCAGCTTTTTAAGATCCACTGTCTCTTGGTTGTGCCACAGACTGGGGACTAAGCCCTTAACACATAGTCCCTTAGGGGACATTTAAGATCTAAGATAGTGCATGCACATTAACATAATTTTAAGCACAGTTGAT